TGCCCCTCTCCACTCTTCTTTCGATCCAAGTTCTGTGCATAAAAAGCATGTTTTATCAAGCCATGACTTGCTCCCCTCGTCAGCAGTCAGGAGGGTTTAAGAGCATCTGCCTTCAGCATTCCTGAACATCTTTGCTGCTGGCTGGTGAAGTGTGGAGGGCTGTGAGGTTATGTGCCTGCAGCGTTCCCAGAAAATAGCACTTCCATGTAGGAGGCAGGGCTAGAGATGCTGTTGAAAGTGGCTCTTGTAATGCAATTCCCATGCTTATCAGGTGGAACTGGGTATCATTGCGTTGTTCCTCTAGTGTCAGTTCTTTTGGGTAGCAGCAAAGGCAGAGTTAATTGCAGCTGTTTTGAACTGAACATAGCAAATAACATTCATCATCTGCATCCTCCTTTTGTCTTGTAAACAATTAATAAGCTGACCCTTGCATTATGGAGATGTGTGGTGTTCTCAGTGGTATTCTTTGCAGGACTTACTTAGTGTATTCTCCTCAGCTCCTTCACCTTCATAATCTGTTCTACTGTGGCTGTCACCCAACAGTAAAGGTTTTGTTTCTGCTTCCTGCTCAGCAATTGAGATTTAAATGGGGATAAGCAAAGAGAGTAACAAATAATATGCTTTGGTAGACGTTTTCATGAGGAATAATTGTTTGAACTAAAAGCCTTCAGGATTTGTTAACCACTGGGCATCTGTGGAAATGCTATCAGAGCATTTATGAATAACGGAACATGAGTGACTGTTGCACACTGAACTGTGGCCTTTTGGATTATGCAAACATTTGTGACCCTAATTGTGTATATTGTGCCATCTCCTGAATCGTCTCCTCACTATTGCAAGGAGAGGAGTGGAAGCAAGAAAATCTGGGTTTTCTCCTTTGTTGGTTTGAAAGTAGCTGTTGAAAACAGTTAAAATTGAATGTTAAATGTTAAAATTGAAAGCGTTTTATGCAACTGGGAGAACCACACTTCCTCTGAGGGGTGTAACTTAAATTTGTGTTGTCTGACTTCAAGATGAGAGAATGAAATGTGCAGCCTGTGCATAGACCATATGTAGGACCCTTCAGCTGAAATGATTGGTTTGGTATAGTTGTAAATTATGGAAAGTCCAGACCTTGATGAAACATCATGGTTTTACCAACATGTCTTTGGGAAAGCTACAGTAGGTAATACATTGGCCAGAAGTTAGGTAGGTCATTTTGAAGAAGTTCAAGTAAAAATAACTATACTGCAAGATACTCACTCACTTTTGTGTGGCAGTTTTTATGTATGTTACAGTGAAACCACTTTCTTGTTCCAAACACACTGAAAGATGAGGCAAAATGTAATCCTAAGCTTCAAACATGCCTTCTGTTGTATTCCTGTTTGCCTGGGCACTATTGATGCCTATAGGTAGCCTTATTTAATCTTTCCCTAGAAATTCCATAGTGTTATGTGGTTAGTAGTTTACAAAGGCTGTCTGGGCTTTGTTCTGAAGCTGCATGGCGTGACTCTGCCAAAGGCCTGAATTCTGCTAGGATCCATGTCCAAGGACACTCTGCAGCATACCTAGTACATAGGCAAATATTCGTGAGGGATTCAAGGAGTTTGAAGCAGGAAGAGGGGCAGTGGCGCATTTGAGAAGTGGTGTAAGATGATGCTTTTTGCTTGTGTCCAAGCTAAAGACATCCTCAGTGATGTCTTTGTAAGCAGGCAGGAGTCATGTAATACTTGCTCATAGTGATTGTGAGTTTTTCCCTGCTGAAATTAATGGCTAATACTCTTCAGTGAAAGCAAAAATGGGAGTCATTGGAAACTTGTGTTCTTTAAAGGGTAATCCAGAAAGCGTAGCCATATTCATTGTGTCATCTCTTGGATTACTGTCAGATGTTGGCAATTAAATATTTTCTTTATATTCACAGCATCTTTCCCCAAATGGTTTCGTCCTGCTTTCCCTCAGTGTGTCACTTTTGCTGCGTTGCTCCCTTGCATTGGTCTGCATGTATCTTAAGAGATATAATTCAGGATGCAATGCTTTTTAAGCCTGCTTCATTCAGCTGGTTTATGGTCTGCTGCAGAGACTTTGTCTTCTGCCCAGCCTAGCGTAATTCCAGCTCTGTTGCTTCTGCCTTTCTAAACATCATAGGGTGTTATCAGTGCTGCTCTGCTTGATAATGTTTGATGGAAAGTACTGCATTTAGGACTGTTGCGTGCAGTGGCCATGGAGATGTGTTTTCACCTATTTATTTTCCAGCTCATGTTTCCTGGGCATTTTGATGTGATAGATGCTGACTTTTGCTTGAGGAGCCTAGACACAATTTGTGTGATCAGGGCCTGGGCTAAGCAGTTGGTTAGTTTATTTTCCAGTGATTGTTCCTGACTGCTTTGATAGCTACATCGCTGCATCTCAGTACTTAACTGTTTGTGAAGCACGTGAAATTGTGTAATAACTTCAGGATTTGTTTTCATAATATCAATTTGCAGGAGCTAGATAACTATTAATTTTCTTCTTATTGCTTTAGTAATTGTTCTTGAAGGTTAATACCCATAGTCTGGCAGCGCTAGTGGTACTTTAGCATCTGTTTCTCATTGAAGCGCGTGTCTGGCTGGCTGTGTGGGGGCCTGTTCTTGCCCTGAGCTGGCATGAGCAGCTGACGGGGGAAGCACATGAGGAAGTATAAATCTTTATGAACATTTATGTTTTGAAAAGGGCTTGGGCACAGGTGAGAGCAGAGCTGTCATCTGTGCGATTGCCTGGGATTTGCTCTTTGCTTCGCGGACAGGTAGTTCCCTTTTTTCTTCTTCCTTTCATCCCATCAAAAACCCAAGTTTCATTTAACAGCTTATTGCGGCAGAACCAGCACTGGACTCTACAAACACTGTTCTGAGATTCATTAGCTCCTAGAAATGACATTACACTTCCAGTCTGAACTTGCCTTCAAACTGAAGTCACTGGAGCGTGGTAGACTTGCCCGCTAGACTGAATGAGCCTTCTAATACCTCAGTTTTGTTTGCCAGGTAGGGGCTCCCAGTCAAATCTCTCTTCACATCTGCTTTGACAAGCTACAAACCCTGTTATTTCTGTAAGGCTAATAGCATGCTAAGGGAAACAGCTGGTTAATTTGACAGGGCATTGTTTTTATAAACTCACCGTTGTCTTAAAACTGAAGTTGAATCTCAATTAGGTAGAACTGATGTTATGTTGACAGGTCAGTAAGCTCTCATTGTATTTAGATTATGACATAAAACTTGCTTTCTTTTGGAATGACGTGAGTAGTCTAAGATTTAATGAAAATAAACAGGATTTTTTTATTGCCTCCCCTCAGCCATCTCTTAAACTCTCAAGTGCCAGTTTCTTGCCTTAGAAAGTCTGAATTTAATAACTGCTGACTAACAGCCTTGTTTTGGGTGTTAAAATTGAAGTATTTTGTTATCTTTTGTGGAATGGAAACTCTTTTTGAGCACTTTGTACGGTATTACCATCACTTCAGGGTATTTTCAAATGTCTGTCTTTAGTTTTGCTTCCTGGAGAATTTCTTCTTGTATCATCTTGTTTGAATGTTGCTTTCAAGAGGTCCTGCCCTGTATTTATTGCTATCGATTTGCTTTTTGAGTCACCTTTCATATAGGTTGGGATTTTTCTTTAAAACTTAGTCTGCATTTTTTATTGAGTATGAAATGAACATCAGGTAAAATATTCCAGCCTTTAAGTGTGAGGCAAAGATTGCAGCTCATCTTTGGTTCTGTGTGTTCTGAAGTAAGTTAAATGCATTAACTGAGTTCGCGGGCACAGGGCTAAGGACCACTTTATTATTAGAAACATGCTGAGGATGGCATATATGTCCAAGGGATGCTAATAACTATTTCATTATTATTAATTTTCCAGTGAAGTGATTTAGTAACAGACCTTCACCACAAAGATAATTTAGCTGCTAAATTATATCTAAATTGCATGTGCATTTCCACTCTGTACACAGCCTATTAGCACTTCTGTTGAAAACAGATAAAGTTGAAATGCATTTTGTAAAGGAAAGCACGTCAGAGCACAGAAATTAGTTCAGTTCTGCTTTCACAGGAAAAAAGAAAACATCAACCTCTGGCATATTTTGGATGCTTTTTCTCTTCATTGTCTGACTTGATGTGGCTTTCCCTCCCTTGTGTCACCTGAACTAGCAGGGCTGATGCTTGTTCATCTTTTCTTTGTGGGAGAGTTCCTTTGTGTGATCTGTGGTTATGGATTAAAAGCATTCAGTGCATTACTGACAAAGCAGCATTGCTGAATACTTAGCAACAAGCTTTTTCTCTCAAGTGTTTTTAATGAAACAGAAGTTTCTTGTTGCCATCTAATAGGTTTAAACACTATTAGAAAGGAATCCCCTCCATTTCAGTTAATCAGATTTTGTTTGCTACCCATGATAACATAAGCTTGCTGGATCTCACATGTTCAGAGGGAGATGAGACCTGAATGTTTAATTTTAAGAAGAAAGGCAGAAACAAATAAGGGTGGTTTTGTGTGAGAAAACTTCCTTTGTGGTTCATAAAACCAAGAAGAGGGCGAAATAGGGCGCAGTAATACATTTTCTTCCTTTTGCGGCTCATCTTCAAGCAGAATGCATGAAACGTACTTGCAAATTTATACACAGTAATGTGATTATGTTTGCACAAGAGTATGGTTGTGCTTCAGAATTTATGACAGAAATTTGCTTTCTAGTTGTGCTGGGTGTATTTGTTGTTTTGGGTTGGAGGGGTTGGGTTTTTTTTGCTTAAAGACCTATAGCAAGAGTACTGTTTGCCAAACGCTAGTGTTTTTAACTGCTTCCCTGAAGAGCAGCTTGGTAACTCTCCAAGGATTACCATACTGCTGACTTAGGAACAAAAAAGAGAGAGCACAGAAAGAAATGTCTTTGCAACCCAGGCAATGAGAGAATGTGAGAACTGCTGACACCACATTGCCCGGAAACAACGTGTTGTTAGGTGCATTTTGGGATTGGGCTGTTGTGACACTGGGAACCTCTTGGGTTTGAGGGTAGAGTGGGAGTCCCTTACATCTCCAGTGGGCAGCGGGACGCAGTCAGCTCTGCCAGGCAAGGGGTGCCCAGGAGGCATCTGCAGCAAGAGTTGGATTTGTCTCTGCTTTGAATGATTAATAGCTCAAGCCTCACAGGTCATCATTGCTTTAAAATTACACATAGTTGGTGGTGCTTTTATAGCAGGGACTTGTCTGACACTTCTGATTTATACGACAGGCTTCCCTGTGTTTTAACATTTGCCAAAGCGTGACATTTCAGTCTGACCTTTTCTTCATGCAGTTGATGTGTTTTTCAAGCCTTTTATTATTTATTTATTAGATATACATTTTTTGTTAAAAGAAGTCTGATACTATAAAATATCACAAGGGAATTTTCAGCTTTCCACTCAGTGGAGAGACTGGATAATGTTTGCTGAAGATCGAATGACCAGGTGTAGAATCAAAGAGATGAAGAGAAATACTCAGTAACTCCCTGCTCTGTAAATGAGGCTCAGATGGTAGAGCAAGAAAATAGCCCAGGAAAATATAAGCCTATATTATACCGTAAATGCACAAGGGAGCTCAATTAAGGTTGTTCAGGAAATCGTGCTTGACAGTTTGCTTTGAATGTGTGATTTTTATAAACCTAATGCTCTTTTAGAACAGTCATTTCTAAACTACTGTGTGCTTTCTAAAGAAGCATATAATGTACTTCCTTCAGGGGGAACCTGCAAGCAAAAACTGAGAGATACGTTCAGCTCATGTGAGGACTGCTCACACAAGATGCTGATCTTACTAATAGGGAAGCCTGAGTTGTGCTGGAAGCTAGTGTGTCTGATGCCAACACTGATGTATGTAGTTGTCTTGCTGTTGGGAGAGGACCAGTTGTGTGACCCTTGATCGTACCTGGCTCCTGCTCACCAGAGAAATCTCAGCACTGAATTTATTCAGGCAGGTGGTTGTTTTTACAAGCCTGTGTTTTGTAGGCAGTGTTGGGAGAAGATGGATGTGAGAGGGACTTGCTGTGGACCTTTGGTGGCTGCAGCAATCACGTGCTTAGCAAGTCCAGCACTACTGCTTCTACTGCTGTCCATCCTGGGGGAAGTTTAAAAACCTTGTGTGGATGAAAGCTGGAGGCCTGAATTGCTTCTACTCACATGAAGGAAGCAGTTTAAGGCACTGTTAATGTCACAACTTGGGCAAGACGAGGCTGGGCAGAGCCCCGAGGGATCTGTGCACACAGTGCTTGGCTCCAGCTCTTGGTAAGGAGCATCTCTAGACAGTGAAGGAAGATTCTGGCTGGTTTGTTTTCCAAGGCCCTGCAGCGACTGTGTCTGTGATAGCTGCAACTGTGTGGGTTGTTTGAAGGTGATGCTGTCCTCCCTTTATAGATTTCCTTCACCAATAGCTGGAAGAGTGGTGATACCCTTTAAATTGTTAATAACACAGTTCTGTTATTGTAGAATAATATGGAAGCACAACCAAGTATTGTGCTAGTGTGCCTCTTGAACACAGGATGAGTGAATTGTTCAGATTTCTGACCTCTGTACTAAGTTCCTGGGGTCACACAGGCCTTGACCACAAACGAGAAGTACACACACATCTGGGTACTAACATGCTCATTGATACATCTTAAAAAGTAGGTTGGCTGCTTCCCTTAACTCTTCTGTTCCTGCAGAGAAAAGTAATTTGCTTGTGATCCAGTTATGTGCAATGTAGTCTCTTGGATGGCCGATTTCTGTATTCTTATTTTGGCTTGTTTGTTTTAAACTGGCATTTTGAAACTGGGTGCCAGTTAGCATCCTGCATACGGAGCAGAATCATCTGCTTTGTCAATATTTTTACCCCCATGTGTCTTTTGTGTTATAAGTTGAAATGAATTGCCTTTTCCTTTCTTCCACAAAACCAATTACAATTCTGTCATCTATGTAGGATTAATACTCCTAAATGTATGCCCATTTCCAGATAAATATTCCACTTAGTACACAGGTATTCTACTTACCCTAGGCTTATGCATAGGCAGAAGTTACATCAATTTCAATTAAATCCCTCTAGCCAATTGTTACAGAATTTTGTGCTTATGTCCTTAATTAGAGTTAAATGTGGCTTATATTGATGGGGTTTAAATATGTTTCTCACTGAACATAATTAAAATACAGAAATTCAAATTAGGAATGTCCATTTGAGGGGTTGTTTTGCCTCCTGAGTTTTATACTGAGTTACTGATGCTAGATTAACTTAAACATTTAAAATATGTTAAGACAGCAAAAGAGTGGGGACCTTTGGTGAAACTGAAGATAGTAGGGATGGGGGGAGGAAGGATCAGCAATCTACTCATGCAAAGAAAGCTGCTCCTGCCTGGGTTTTGAATACCAGGTACTATGTGAATGCTTTGGGTATTTCAAGTGGATGTCTTTACTGATGGTGGGAAGGATGGGTTGATTATGTAAATCTAAGCAATGGCCACTGAACCCAGACATGGATTTCAAATGTTGCTCAAGTCTTAATAATATGTGGTGTGTATTCAAATCCCAGGATTTATCACTTCCAAAGGTATCACAGCTTGTCAGGACTGCCACTAATTGTTATCACCTTATGCCATCACCTGCTTTACAGTCTCACCCCAGGACCTCTTCTGGCCCTGAGAGACACATGGTATATTAGACTGGAATTTGTCCCAGTTTATGCTGTACTGATTCTTACAAGCTGATAAAATGGAAAAACATAGAATCCCAGACTGGATTGTGTTGGAAAAGGGACCTTAAAAATCATCCAGTTCAAACTCCATGCCATGGGCAGGGACACCAGGTTGTTCCAAGCCCCTTCCAACCTGGCCTTGAAGAAAGCTTCTGCAAGGACTCGTATCTGTCACACTCCGTGGGGCTCTGGGATGCATTCCATTTTCACTTTGACTTAGATGAGCTCCTTGATAGGTTACCTTTTTGCTTTGAATTCACTAAGTATAAGGTTTGGCTCTCAGCCCTGAGTACTCTCCAGTCAAGTGGAATGTGGTTTTTACAGGGCTGTGATGTAAACTCCCCAGTAATTGGTCTCTAACCAGTATGGATGTTCCACACACCCCCAGTGTGGTCCACACAGTGTGGTCAAACAAGAGGCAGGTAAAGCTGGCATGAATACAGTCATATATAAATTAACTACCTGCTCCTAAAATGGTAAAAAGTGATCTAAATCCTTCTGGGGGGAAACAGGAGGGGAAGTATTCTCTGATCTCTGTACACATTGGAGAATACTTTTGTTTGGCTCAGGAAAGCACTCAGCATGAACTCCCTCCTACCCAAATACACCAAGAGCTGGTGTTACACTGAACCATTCATGTGGCAAATTAAAAAGTCTGCTGGACGGATGATATGGTTCCGAGAACTCAATAAAACTTATTACCTACAAGACTGATTCTTCTTATTCCAGTGACATATGTGCTGGTAGCTTTGCAACAGCAGGAATAATTAAGGAAAAAAAAAAAAGCAGTATATTGAGGCTTCATTTTAATGGAGCAAAAGAACTAATTTCTGTGTCTGTGTATGCAGGATTAAGTGGAAATCTCTCCACTATTGCCATCCCCAAAAGATATGAGCTTCCTAATCAAGTCATGCTTGTTAAGCTCAAATCATGATAGAGGTGTGACTATATTAAGGTAAAATCTTGGGAGGCCTGAAGTAAACAGTAGTGACCTGACTTGCATCATCTGGGGTATGAATTTATCAGTTTAATCTGGAAAAGGCCTCACTTCATTGGATGTGATGGCACCTGAGAAACACACAGTTGGTCTTCCCTGTGAAAATTCTCCATAAGGTGGTTTGAAAAGACAGCAAGCTCTATCTTTGATCCATGAACTGGTTGGTGTTTACTAATGATTTTCCAGGATAGGGAACAATAAGGAAAGCTTTCAAATCCCAGCAGCCAAAGTAAGGCAGACCCCTAAATAAGCTGTTTTGAACGCTGACATAAACATAATGATCAGCAATGTAGTAAATCGCAAGGACTCTTCAAGAGCACTTGAAGCACTCTTGACAGGCTGAGTTTGGTTTGTTCAGCCTGGAGAAGAGAAGGCTCAGGAGAAACATTGAACAGCTTCCAGTGTATAAAGGAGACTACAGGAAAACTGGAGAGGATCTTTTTACAAGGGCACGTAGGGGCTAGGACAAGGGGGAACGGATCTAACCTGGCAGAGGGGAGATTGAGATTAGATATATAAAAGGAAGAAGCTCTTCTCTGTGAGTGTGCTGAGGCACTGGCACAGGGTGCCCAGAGAAGCTGTGGCTGCCCCATCCCTGGCAGTGTTCAAGGGCAGGTTGGACACAGGGGCTTGGAGCAAGCTGCTCTAGTGGAAGGTGTCCCTGTCCGTGGCAGGGGTTGGAACTGGATGAGCTTTAAGGTCCCTTCAGCCCAAACCATTCTGTGGTTCTATGATTGTCTGCCTCTTCTGCCAACCTGTCTTCTATATGACCCAGAGATACCAGTGAGAGCCAAAGAGGTGATCCTCTTTCCCTTCCATTTTCAGGATGTATTTGAACATTCAGTCTGGAATGGGAGCACTGACTGAAGCACTAAAACCAGGCTGCTTGGTCGGCTGCTGGCTGAGCCATAAGAAACATCACAAAAACTTCAGAAACTACTAAGTTTCTACAGTTTTTTCATAAGTGACTGTCACATAACTCCTTGAAGTTGAACTTGCAGGCCGTCTGTAGTGCAAACCTGCAGAGGCCACCTGACAGCCTTATACATATTATAAAGCATCCTCCTGCTTCTGGGGTAGTATCAAATCATTTTAGCTCCATCCTCTTTAATTTGAGGTGGGGTAGACTATCAGCGTTCTTAACCAGAAATCTTGGATAGTCCTGTGATTATGGGAATCGCAGTATCCTATTAATATATGTATATTATTACTATATGTTGAAGCCTATGCTGGAACATATGCTTCTGCACAAGTCAATTCAAAAGAATTGCCATTATTCAGTATAGACACTAATAGGTAGTTCAAAGCCTAGGCAGAATGCTTTTTATTTCCATTTCCACTTGCAGCACTGCTGCATGTACCAAGAGAAATTCTCATTATACACTGCTTCTATTTCAGCATTTTGATGTCAGCAGCTCAACTGTGTGTGTGTGTGTGTGTGTGTTTGTGTGTGTGCCCTTGATCTTCTTTTCCTTCCTCTGAGCCAAATAAGTTCAAGAATCATTTTGGGCTGATGGTGACCATGCAGTAATAGTGACTCTGCAGTTCTGGTAGCTCTTAACTGCACACGTAAAATCAGGAGATAGGCTCTAAGAAGTATTTCAGGATGTTCCTTTTGTTCTGTTCCCTTAGCTTTCTTCCCTCATTTGCTTATATTGTCTTTGGAAGGATGTGTTTCCTTCAGTTGACTAGCAGGGAGGGCCCTCATTGCTGGATGTGATTCTTTTTATAGTCGACAGAATTTGCAGATGGAGTAATTGCCATGCACATGGCACCAGCTTCCTTTGTTACTGCCCTGACAGGTTGCTCTTCGCTTGACTTGACTTTGAAGTTCTGAGTTCTCGTTTCTAAGAAATTTGTTGTGATTTTTTGGCATTATTTCTTGCATGTTTACGAAGCTTTCCATTCATATTCACTTCTTGTCACTGCTGTTGCACTGGCTGGTTGCGAGAGAGATTTGGGGTGTTATAAATAATAAACCAGAAAGAAACAGATCTATTCCTTGTTCACTTCAGCAAAGCTCTTGGGAAGCAGCATTCTTATTAATGCTCATCTTTCTGCCTGTGACAAGGGAGGGGGATGGACACGCATGGCTGAGGGGATGGCATTGTTGTGTTTTCATCGGTTTTGTCTCAGCGCGTGTTTGTGTTGGGCAGAGACTGGCGTGACTTTCTCAGCTCTTTACCCAGGATCATTGTGGAAGCAGTTCGTGTCTGTTAGTTGTGAACAGATGGGAATGCATGATTTTTGGC